AACTCAGATTTTAACTCCAAACTCAAGTTAAAATTCAAATTAAAACTCAAGTTCAAACTCAAATTTTATAAAAGGATATGAACTTGAATAAACTTGTAACTTGAATTTAAATTTTTTTTGAGTTTGAGTGTAGACAAACAAATCTTAATTCATTCTAAAAAATTAAGATAGAACCGAAAAAATAAAGAGTAATTTGTAGGTTAAATCAATTTTAAGAGGCGTCACGTGACTTCTCCTCCTGTTATTATTTGGACGGAATTTAAAGAAATATTTTAATTGTATCAATTTAATAAGTTGGAAGTCTTTTTGTCAAAAAAAAAAAAAAAAATAGAGATTAAACTATCAATTATTAGAGGTTAGGCATGATATGTGTCAATTATCCTGTGCTTTCTGCGTCTATCACACTGGCATATCGCAGAAAAAATACAGATGCGATTTCTTCCGGTTTCCAAGCTCGTCAACTTCTCCAATGGCGAATCTGCCATCTTCGTCTTCTCCGCAATCACTTTCCTCAGCCTCCAATTCCGACAACTCCCCCGCCACCACTACTAAACCCACTTCTCACTCTTCTCTCTCTCCTAAACTCCAGGTTTCTCTCTCCGTCTCTACTCCACCTATATGTGTGTGTATATTTATATATATATATATATATATATATATATCTGTATATATGTGGTGTATGCAGTTTTTCTTTTACGGGCTTTCTCTTCTTTGTTAGGTTGACGCTGGGGAAAACAATTTCGACGAGAAAACGCCTGAAGTAGCTACCAATTTTCAGTGAGTATTTTCTCTGAAATATTTCACCAAAATTTTATTCTTACTGTGCTCCTAAAATGTTAGGTTTTCCAAATCATTGCTGGGAACATGTGTTCCAATAATTTTCTTTCCGTTAATTGGGATCTTCTTACATTCGTTTAACAGTTCTTATGAGTAAAATTTAGTTAGAAAATTGTACACTTATCTTTGTGCACGTCTATCTCTCCCCTTTTTTTTTTTTTTTTTTGAATATTGCTCTGAAATTGAGGAAAAATTCTTATTTCTATAAAGCTTCTTTGCCATTAAAATGAAACTTTTTTTTATTTTTTTATTTTAAGGACACTAGAAGAGTTCCCACCCTGATCTGGGGATAGCTCTATTTTGATTTCTGATGTTATTATCCTATAGTTCTGTGTTTTGCACTATGAGTGGCACTTTCTAGCAAATAGTAGAAATGAAGTCAAATTTTATATCTGAGAACTTTTCTTAGACCGTCTTTTATTGTATTTCCAAGTTTTATATGTGGTCACAAGTTTTTTCCGCTAAAATTTGATTTGTTTTCTAGTAGTTGATTTTTTGTCATGGATCTTCTTACCTCTTCTAGTTTCTGCCACGAGACTTTCGAGTACCTGTCTCTACATAGTACATGTAGTCTTTGATTGGGTGTCTAAAAAGATATGAGAAATTCACTCATTTTTAATTTTGAGCCATTGGCCGGATGATTTACAGTTTCTGCATTTTTTCAGATACCTTTATCTTGCAAACCACATCGAGAAGTTCAAGATATATGAAGCTGACTATGCTCGTCGGTTGATGGCAAAATACTTCTCTAAGAAGAATCTCTATGGAGGTAGCAGTGATTTCCTTTTTTCGGTTTTATGCTTATTAGAGCTTAGTTTTCGGTGCTTTTATTTTGTTCCAAGCAGCTTAAGCAACTTATTACTGAATTCTTTAGTCTAGTAAATGTCTGCTATTGCTTTTCTCTTGACCATCATTTTTTTTTTCTGTCTCATATTTTACTAAAATGCTTTAGTTGGTAGAAAATTTTCTTCATAGTGATTTTCCCTGAAAACTACAGTATACCATTAACTAAGTCTTGGCTTAATCACTAAAAGTTTGAAGGCTTGTGTTTGTAAGACAGTATCACATCTCTACTTATTTTAGTGCATGTTTTTAATCTATGGTGTTTTTGTTATCCCCTCTAATTAATCTTCTTTATTGGTTTCTTTCTCTCTTAAATTATGTCTTCTGCACTTGATGCATTGGTTTTCTCTGCTATATCATCAAATGTGGTAGCTCTTTCGTCATAACTAGTTCTTGCTGCTCACATGATTGTTGCATTTGTCTGTCGTCCTCGTAGGCAACGTATTTGATGAGAATGTTACAATAGACAATGAACTTATAAAGTCAAGCAGGTAAAGCACATTGAAGATCCTGTCAATCAACTGATAATTTATTTGGATTTACAGAACCTAATCAAAGTTTGGCTCTGTTTCTGCAGATGGCCTTGTACGCGATCGTATGCAGACTCAGTGAAGGCTTTTGAAGACCAGAACAGCAGTGAATCAGTCACTGTTAATGAGACCCCGTCTAACATCTCAAATGGAAAGCACCTTCCGAAGAAGAATGGTTAAGTAAAGTTCTCAAATTTTCTCCCCCATTCTTGTAAATGTTGTACAATAAATGCTATGATTGAGATAAGCCAGACTTAGGAAACGGACACGAGCTTACAATGGCCTCTAAACACTTACAATGAACTTCAGCTGTCTACAGCTATTGATGACTTTGAACTTACGTCTATTATATACTACACAGCTTAATGATGAGAGAGATGTGAGGAAAAAAAAATTGAAATCAAACATTTCTAAGGAAATCTACACGAACCTATAGCCGAAGTTGGACATGATAACTAGATTACGTCTCAGTAAAGCACATATGTGGATTCATCATTCATGTATGAACCGGCTGGGAGGATTGTGATATATGCTCTTACTTTGGATACGAAACAAACTAGCAAGCAATCATTAGGTTTGTCCTTTTCAATGTGTATAATGTTTCGTTTTATTTATTTGATAATTTGAACCGCTAGAATTTTATCGATATTTGTTAAACGGCCATACTTTTCATAATCTGATATGATTCGATGCTTCATAAAGGTATCTTATTACCATAGTTTGATTCCATACCTAATCACAAAATTCTCTTTTTCCTTTTGGAACTTTTTTAGTAAGAACTGTTATTTTCTTATCAGTAGGAACTATAATTTTAGCCATTAGATTAGTTTTTCATGAGTGGGAGCACTTATGTGCCATGCGTTGAAAATTTTAATGTGGTCCTACAAGGACGGACCGTTCAAAAATAGTAGTTCTACTGTACGAGTTCCTTTTTTTTTTTTTTTTGTTGGTTCTGTAAGTTGTACGTTGCTTCTTTAACAACTGTTACATACTTTTGAGGGGTCATTTGTCAGTGGATGATTTGGTACTCAAATACGGAGGAATATCTTTCCTAAGCTTAATGGACTATCGGGATGCAGTGATGGCTAGAGAAAAGTGAATCAAGCAAGCATTTTAGTGATTTTTTTTGTCTGAGAGATGCCTTTATGCAAAACTACACTACTAGAGCTACAAGAAATATTGTCGTGTTAGTTTTGCCTTTAGATGGCTTAAACCTTGGATGAACCAACAAGAGATTGCGTGTACTGCTTTGAAGGAAGAGCAATCCGATGGTTTCTTTCTGATGTTTCTTTTTTTAATATGATTGCTTATTAAGTTATTGAAGAATTCCATTATTGTCTCATAAATGGAAAAGATTATCTCTACCTGAGGTTGAAAAAATCTAGCTGAAGAACCATCTTGTTTTCTTGTTCTTGGCTTTACAATGTATTACTGAGGGCTTGTTCTTTTGCAAGTATTCTTGAGTTAAGTTTTTTAGTTGAGTTTGAGTTGAAGTTGTAATTTGAGTTTGCGTTTGGTTGTGTATACTTGAGTTATAGTTTGAGATAAGCATCTTTTTGAGTTTGTGTTTGTTTGTGGTAAAACTTGAGTTATGAATAGTGGATATGATTTTTTTCCAATTTTATTCAATTCTTTTACAATTTTTTTATTTTTCAAATTTATTATGTTTTTTTTTGTAATTGAATATGAATAATTTAAATTAGTTGTAAATAATTATTGGTAATCTGGTAATTTTAAAAAACACATAATTACAAAAGTAAAAAATAATAAAAATAAAAAGTAGAAGATCAGTTTTCATTTTAATTAAGTTCAAATATACAACAATAAATACATAAATTATAACACGAGTATTTATAGACCCTATAACATAATATTGTCGCATATCAACGTCTTTTGAATGAGGACTATTAGCGTGCACGACGGTGACGGTACACTGCCCACATTGTATGCGCCCTTGCATCCCTTAAAGCATTCATCTCCACTTCTGCATTAGAATCCAATGGTTGACCCTTATGGTTAGTATTGTCGTTAATGTCATCATCAACATTCTGTGGATCAATGTCTGCAATCGGAACGCCATCTTGTGAGTATTGGTCCAATAGGCTGTCCCCATTACAGTACATATGGATAAAATTATGTATTATAGCACACGTTATTGGAATCATAACTTGTTTGGTCATGGGGTAACGGTTAATGGTTCTCAAAATATGAAATCTAGCATTCCACACACCAAATGTTCTTTCAATGACATTACGCAGTGAGGAGTGGGTGTAGTTGAAAAGCTCACGTTCGCTGTGGAAACCTCTATCACGGCGAGTCCTATACTCTTGCAAGTGGTATGTTGTCCCCCGATATGGTGCCATGAAGCATCCGTTGTTAGCGTACCCCGAGTCGACGAGGTAAAATTTTCCTACACTTATACGTATATTAATTAACAAATAAGCGTATAGATGAAGTATTTGAAATGTCAATGTACATATAAAAAATCATTGTAGGCGGACCTGGTGGTGGTGTTGGAAATCTTTTGTTCGTGGATTCTAAGGCGGCAGCCAGTACTCTCGCATCGTGTGCGGAACCCTCCCATCCAGATAACATGTACGTAAATTTTATATCAAAAGAGCACACGGCAAGCACATTAAGTGAAAAGAACCCCTTCCTATTTCTGTAAAGTTCAGCAGTTTCACGAGGGGGAACACATGGGACGTGAGTACCGTCAAGTGCTCCAACACAATCCTTCATAGTTTACAAGAGTTATGTTGGTTATATTAAACAACGTAATAATTTTTAGAAAGCATTATAAACCGCATTAAAATTTAGATGTGGCTAATTAATGTAGATTACCGAACTTATATCGAACCACGGCGAGTATTTATTTCCACTTGCAATTATGTGCGGGTCAATGATTTCAAAATCTGGATGTCTAATGAAGTCCTTCTTCAATGTGCATACCGCCTCAAGAACTTTGGTGAAGTACTCAGACACCGTTGATCCAGATCGCTGCCAAGTGTCATGCGCCTCCCTGTTAGTTTGGTTCTGACATAATATAGTTAGGAATATGAATAATTGCTCATCAACATTTAGGTGGGCGGTCGGTCGTAATAAGCCCCTTTCCTCAAGGATAAAACTTAGGCGTAAGAATGCATCACTACTCATACGGACTTTGTCATACATCACTGTTAGACTACGTTCCAGATAATAATTCACTCTAAGTGCGCCTCCCCAACCAAAAGTGTGCCTTCGGCGAGAAGGTTCTCTGTATACAAATCCAACACATAGCATAGTCGCCGCAACCACCACTTGCATGAAAAAATCATCGTCACTGTCAGTTTGATTCATTATAACCCATTGGGTTTGAATTCCCGCCTATATCATCCCTGTCCAATTTTCCAAATAATGATGCAAAAAGTTAAAAAATGTAAATCATATGCATAAAGTTAAAAACTAAATATAAAACAACTCTTGCCGAAATAAGTTTACATTAAGCAACAACTCCTCAACCAAATGTGTCGCAACCTAATAAGAATGACTAAATTAGTACTAATAACGACAAATAATGAAGGAAATAAAACCATAAACAAATCAATTTCGACAAGTCTTTATATGTTCGTAACAAGTAAAAGAAATGAAATGACATCATCACATGTGCGAAGAACTATCCCCTCCGCGTGGCATTGGATAGGGTGGTCTTGGGAACGGTGGCACGAACGGTTGAAATAGGGAAGTGGGTTGTTCGAATGTGTTGGCAGGTGTAGGGTTCGTGTGCACGGTCGGCTGAAAGAACGAGGGCATAGGCATTTGTTGTGGTGGCGGAGGAGAGACTTGTTGGTTTGCACACTGCTCCATAGTCTGTTGAATTCACACAAGCCGATGGTGTTCTGGCATATGAAGGAATGACTGCTGCCATCTAGGATTGGTAGTCATAAAGTTGAACATGAAGAGATACTGTTCTTGGGATATGTCCAACGTTGCCAATAAATCGAAGTATTGAACCTCAACGTTTTCACTTTGCACGGGCATGGTCGCAGATGCATTTATACCTCGAGACCGACTGCTTGTTTCTATCGAAGTTACGAGGCGAGCCATGGCCTGCTCCATATAGCTAGGTGATATTGTACGAGAGTTACGACTTGACCTTTTACGTATCAATTGTGATGATGAGTGGACATGTTGTCCGCGGCTTTCTCGGTGCATGTCATGCTGCCTATTTGCAGAAGGAACATCGTCACCATCATTGAAACTCGTTGGTCTTCTCTCAATGGGGCTGCCGGACCCATGTTGTGGTGGAGCATCATCTTGACCATACTCAAATGCCCCATTTGCCCGTGTATTGACGAACGCACAATAATACAAATCGTAATCCAACAAGGGCTTCCTCCTCGCCCTTTCAACTTCGGGATGGCTCTGTAAATGGAGCAACAAATATTAATACAATTAGGAAATGGTTCTCTCACATACGTATTCAATATAAAATTCAGAAGTCGAAGATGATTACAAAAAGGTGGAACAAGTGATTTAAAGAAAAAAAAAATCCCCATACAAAGAAATCCTAACACGGAGGTGACGGCTAAATAGTCATGATTCGAACTTCTAGTTTTTCCTTTCAGGGGCTTTTTTCAGCATGTATATTGGAGACACACCTGTGTCAGAGCAAATAAAAGAAGAAATAGGAAGAAATGTGGCTAATATAATTATAAGGTGCTGAGAAAGTTCATGTCTAGTCTCCACGGCCTCACTATTCAAATGGGCTAGTGGTTGCTGCTACTTTCATTGTGCAGCAAGAACTTTGTGCTAAAGGACAAAGAAATTAAAAAAAAATCTCAAATCAATATTTCCAGGCACGCCGTACACGACCAAACCTACCGTCCAATTACTGAAACTTTGAAACCATTATTAAGTTTGGTTCTGTTAGGCGGTTTTCTTAACTTGTTAAAATTCCTTCACACTATTTGGTTGCAGGGAAAAAGACTCTACACTCAAAAAGGAATTAAGGAAATAGATGGTGGGTAAAAAAGAACTGGCCTCTTCATGATCGCCTTTTCTCTTCTTCTAAATCTAAGTTTGAGATATTTATGCTCTAAATCTTAACTGTAAACTGTTTCACAAGGGTAGTATACAATTAGACTCCCTAATTCTATACTATTAAGGTTAATGAAATCACAAAAGAAAAGAAAAAAAAAATAAAAACACCAAAAATCTCAATGCGAAAACTGCATTTATACTTTCTGATGTATTCATTATAACAAAAAAGAAGTTTATGCTAAAGGAAGAGAAACACAAATACCACTCTGGACAAACATTTATGCCATGGAAGTGAAATAGTATAAACATGTCTTTTACTAAAGAGTAAAAAAAAAAAAAAAAATCGTAAGTGACATAAACTTTATATTTTAAGTGACCAAAAAAAAAAAAAAGGCAAAACTACGAAGAGAAACTTCTGCTTTTCTCTTTTGAATAGCAATTATTGCATAAGCTTGGACTAAATGTAAGAAAGTCCCAATCTACCGTTTTTACGGAATAAAGGGGCATAAATCCTAACATTAATCTGAGGTTGAGTTTTTTATATGGCAAACCAAAAACCATAGCCCAACGAAACACCCTCACATGGTAAACTCTTACACAAATGCACTCCCCTTGTGAGGCCTATAATCTTTGGTGCTCAAGACATCTCTCGAGCAATGGAG